ACTGAGAACATCATGAGTAGAGCCCGGACCTTCATGCACTAAAAAGAGTGGAATTATGCATGCAATTATGCATTGAAAATGGCCGATATATGCGGTTACAAAGTCAATTTTATGCATTTGGGATTTCGCGTACAAGTCTCAATTTTCACGGGTTACAGTACACAATGAGGTGTTGCTTCAAATGGTCGAATGTGAGAGTCTGAATCCGATCGCCTAAGGTATGTTTCAAGATCGAGAAAGTCCTCTCCACGTCGACTGACGTTATAGGAGCGAATTTTAGCGACGCAAGCTCCGACGGCGAGTATTCGTCGATGCTCCCCTCGGACGGGTTTCCGCGGAGTATATCTGTCACCTTGTCCAGGCGATGCAAGTCGGGATTGTTGCTTAGAACAAGGTCGCACTTCCTGCGGATCTTTTCGCCGACGGCTCCGGGGGTTCTGCGGAGATCTAGAAGAGTTTTCTTGAAGATGTCAGTGCTATCCACAACTAGCGCTTCCTTTTTCACAAGCATCTCGATGCATCTGGGCAGAATACCAAAGTGAGCTTCAATGAAAGCTAGGTTCTCCTTGAGATTCGCGCTCTCCAGCAGATCCTTGACAACACGGATACTGGAGGCGTCGTTTTCATCAAGAGCTGCTACTACCGACGAGAACGCAACAAAGTTCGCAGAATAGTAGATGGCTGCTTCTATCCAGGTTCCCCATCGAGTGAGAATAGGCTGGGGTGGCAAAGCCGTACCAGGTGCTATTTCACGGAATAGGCTGACCCTCGCCGCCGATTTCCGGAAAACTTTCTTTCCGTTGGCAACTACCTTGTCGACATCAGGGAACAAGAGCCGCACCTCTTCTGCCACCCGATGAATAGCGTGTGCGACACACGTAATGTGTAGCATCCGCGGAAAGATGATTTTCAGTGCCGACCCGGCCTTCTTCATATAGGCAGCACCGTCTGTGACTAGGAGAAGCACTTTGTCGTGTCGAATCCCATCGGGCCCGAGTATCGCAAGCGAGTTCAACATGTGTTGAGCAATTATTCTTGAACTATTGGTTTTCCCTAGAGTTTCTGCATGGAGCAGAAAACTTTTCGTCCCTGACATTTCGAGCGTGCCCACAACCGTGTGAGCTACAAAACGTCCGGTCACGTCCGTGCTTTCGTCCATGGAGAGCCAAATCGGGTTTTCCTCGATATACTCCCGAATGTTGTTCAGTTTGTGCTCGTAGACGCTCTGAAGATACTTTTTGCGGAGGGTCGATGACGACGGTATCTGTTCGGAACAATATTTCCCGAGGAAATCTGTCAGTTTCGAATTCTCTAATTTCCAGAATGGGATACCGGCGGTAACAAAGGCTTCGCAGAGGTCGAGCTTGAACTGCGACTTCTTTCTGGAAACTTCCAGGAAAGAAGCGATCTGGATCAGACTGGTTGAACTTGACTGCTTCTTCTTGTTCAATAGCGACTTATGCTTCGCTCCATTGAGATGCTGCGAAACTTGCGATTTTCGCTCGGCGGGAACATCCCGCTCACACACTTTGCACAAGATCACGTGTCCATCGGTCGACAGAACTCCTTCTCCTGAAAGCTTCACCTTAGACCGGAGCTTCGATCCGTGAGATTCCTTGATTTTCGGCATTTTCACAAATACAGTGCTCGTGAACGAATCGCTTCTCAGCTGAACTTCTGTTTACGAGACATTGGACGTCGTCAGTCACCGACCAACGCGTGGTGCACACGCCACACGTTTGAGCAGATAGTGACCAGAGCAAGGTTTGGGCGAAAGCTCATGCATGGCTCTTCCAGGACCCCTCACGAGTCAGAAGTCCCTATGGGAGCGCTAAGAGCGATTGTAACGATTTATGCAGAATTATGTTCCGAACAACCATAAATGCATTTATTCCAAAAAACGCCGATTTATGCGTTTCTATGCATCTTATGCATTTTGCATGAAGGTCCGGGCTCTAATTATGACCGGGGAACCTTCG